CACCAAAAGGACGAAGGCGGGAACGGAATTCGCCTCTAACGCAAGTTCCTATAAGCCTATCTGCTGGGAAAGCATCAACGAAATTAATTAGCGACAGACCTGCTCAAAAATTAGTAGCAGAAGGAATGGAATCAACTTACGATTGCAGCCGAATCCAAGAAGATCAAGTGTTTGATCAAGATAGTCGAAATGCGTCTGAACCACCTAAGGCTAATGACATAAATGATACCAACACTCATATCAACACGAATCACGAACAAGAGGCTCTAAACCTACAACAATATCAGAACCAATGTTCATGTTGCCAGGACTCTGGGAAACAAAATGGTGTACGATACCGACTTCGATCATTGGCCTACAGACCATCGTGTGACAATATTAGTATGAATGAAGCTATTCGATCTCATAAATTGATACTGGAAAGTATAACGGGAACAGGCAAGGTGCACAGAGTCATAGACTGGGTTGCATATAGTGACGTTACCATGGACAATGTATCTCCACAGTGCAGACAATGGCCTACAAGTGCCACATCGCTACTCTACGAAGAAGTAGACGAACTGGAAACAGTCCGTGATTTTAATGAGTTAAAGCCAGGGTTTGTCTGCGACGAGAAGGTCTCAGCTACTGCAGAGAGGCTCCGAAAGCGCGCCTTCAGACAGAGCGTCTGTTCAACAGCTTCCTATATCACCAGAAAGCCAGATGCAGGGCTTCAGATACCAATCAACTATAGGAAGGTAACTTTGTATTTAGTGTCTTTGAATGAATAATCCAAAGAATCAACTCTCACTTCAATGAAGCCAATATGCATCCGCGTCCCGGGTCCGCAAGTCCGTAAGTGCGCAACGCATTGTGGGAGTAAAGGATGAGTAGGCTATTAATTCATATTTTGACAAAATCATATTATTTGTGGAGAGCACGCTTATGGAATACGGTACAAAGTGTCGTCGTCTGTCTCAGGTCTCAGTAGCGCATTCAAGGGGAGGGGGGCAGCCGACCACCATCCCCTATTCCAAAATTATTTTAAAAAGAGAAAATAAACAATAATATTCAAATTTAAGTAGTAGAGTGCCATTTCAGGCCATCTAGAGGCCCATAGTAATCACACAATTTCTTACTCTCGTGGTCTAGATCCTTTATCTGTGAAAATCCCTTAATTTGCGCCCCCCCCCCCAACCTCTAAACGAATTCCTGGAATTCGCCACTGGGTCTTCAACATAAAAAGGGGGATAAAGAGAATATCAGCAATTATCGACCAATATCTATTTTACCATGCTTATCAAAAATATCTGAGAGGGTCGTGTATGACCAGACATTATCATTTATACATAAGCATGATTTACTTAGCAAGATGCAATATGGCTTCAGAGAGGGTCACTCTACTGAACATGCCCTACTCCAAGTATTAGAAAAAATCACAAATGCAATTGACAATAGAATGTTTGTAGTAGGAGTCTTTTTAGATTTATCAAAAGCATTTGATTTAATTAATCATCAAATACTACTTAATAAACTTAGGTATTATGGTATAAGAGGACTTGTCTTTGACTGGTTCGTAAGTTATCTGTATAAAAGAAAACAATATGTAAATATTAAAGGGCAAAAATCTGAGTACAGAGAAATCTTATATGGAGTGCCACATGGCTCGATTTTAGGGCCTCTGCTTTTCTTGTTGTATGTAAATGATATGCCTGATGTTTGTAACAGATCTGACATTATGTTTGCAGATGATACGAATGTATTTCTGCAACATGAAAATGTAAATATGGCGTTTACTATTATGAATAGAGAGCTCGCTCACTTAAGCTCATGGTTCTTTGCCAATAAACTAATTATCAATGTCTCAAAGACAAAATATATAATTTTCAGAGGTAAAAATAAACCAGTTGACATAGGTAATAATAAGTTATCTATAAACAACAATAGAATGTGTAGATTTCATCACATTTCTAGGAGTAGAACTTGACAAATGTTTAACTTTCGCACACCATGTAAATTATATAGCTAACAAAATCTCTATTATGATAGGATCTCTAAATAGACTCAAGACATTTTTGCCGCAAAAAATTTTATTGACTATATACAACTCGTTAATTCTCCCAGTTATAACATATTGCATACAAACATGGGGTACCACTGACTCTACAAATATAAACCGACAAAAAAAAGCTTTAAGAATTGTATGCAACGCCCATTATCAGCATCCATCCTTGCCTTTATTCATCAAAACAAATTCTCTCACAGTGTATGACATTTATAAGAAGAATATTTCAATATTTATGTATAAGTACTTCATGGGACAAGTACCAGTGTCTTTTAATATATTTTTTCAGACTTATGGCTCTGTACACAGATATGGTACAAGAAATAAAGATAACTTGTGTATAACAAAAAAGAACACAAATATTGGACAAAAGGGCTTAACATATATAGGGTCTAAAATCTGGAACGGTATCAATGTAGAATTAAGACTCAGTAATAGTACTTAAATTCAAAAGAAATTTAAATAACCATTACTATGAAAACTATAAGTGTAATGCAAACCTATGTATAAATAATTGTGCTGTATGTAATCATATTTAACTTTTCTTCAGAATTTTCAATGACTATTGACTTGTTACTTTATTTATAAAATTTATTTTTTTGTGATATAGTTGTTAATTTTATTTCATAATCAATGGGCGCCCTTTATAAAGCTTGCTTGCTGTGGCGACCCTTTTTCCACTTTATTCAAATGTTCTGATGGGCTTACATTCTTATCAATTATTGTTTTTTTTTTCCTTATGTATTTATCCGTCTATGTATTTTGTATTGATGATGTGGAAATAAACTTTATATTGAATTGAACATATTGTACCTTTTATACTTTTTAGTACCTGATAGCGCATGGACACAAGAAAACTACAATATTGGGACATAGGAGAGATCAAAATGTTTCAATCAACCCTTTTAGTATTGATCACCGGGATAGATTCTTTGAGTGTAAGTATATCTATGACCAACAGCACCACCTCAACTTACCCGAGCTTGACAAAGAATATTATTGAATAGTCTTCGAAAAGAGGCCTCCAAAATATTAACAATAACAAATCAAAACAACTAGTACTGACAATAATGTGTAATATCCATTTTTATATTTAAATCCTACCATCAATCAGAAGCTCTTCGTATCTGCAAAGAAAAGCGCTATATAAATAACTGAACATTATTATTATTATTAATTCGAAGAAATTTTACGAAATGATATACTGTCATTGTATTGTGTGCTCATCCTGTTTTTGATTTGTAGTTGAGTTGAATAGCTTGGTGGTTAAGATGCCTGCCTTCCAATCCCAGGGTCATGGGTTCAATTCCTGTCAGTGTTGCAGGATTTTTTCTCACGACCAAAACAACTCCACTCCCTAAATCTCATATTAAGATTTAGTTTGTGTAAAGCATCGTGTGTGTATGTTTGTCTTGTGTAAGGGATTGTCACCTACAAGTAGGACAGTGATATATTCGCTATTGACAATCCTTGGCACATGTATTGTGTGCCTAAATAAATAAATAATAATAATAATGATTGTAACCGAGTGTGAATCTAACTTTTTAGTTGATGACTCTTTCTTTTGACTTTGGACGAAACGCTACAATATTCTCAGTTTACTGTTATTATTAATAATAATAATAATGTGATTATTAATATACGAACCAATACTCATCAATTTTGTCTTTAACCCTAGCTAAAGAGTATGGAGACTTATTGGAAAAAATGTTGCTTGAAAACAAACTTGAACTGAATAGAAGTAAAGTCAGAATTACGGTAGCGAATGGACCGCATCCTCGTCAAATTGTCAACAAAACATTCGAAGACAGCATCTACTGTAATCGAAACAAACAACTGATAGGAACTACCGCTTCATAAAGATGTGTGCAAATACTAACTGAATAACTACTCCTAAACACCTATCCTTTTAAAAGATGCATTGAATCCACACATGTATATGCCTTATATCTATATCTATCCCTTCATTATTTCCTTTCAATTCGGATTTTAATAGAATTGAAAACAGAATATCATTGACAATAAATCGTCTCATCATTGTACACATTTTCCATTTTCTTGTGTCATTTTTCAAAGTACTATAATCACGAAAGTTCGAGAGTGGTTATAAAAAAGGGTCCATCATAACTATAACGCGGATGGCGTATTTTACGAATCAATGGAAGTAAGCTCCGTCATGTAAGCATGGAGGTATAATAATACCTCCATGATGTAAGCCTAACCACGCTAGCAGAATCAACGCACTGACGGGTAACAATATATTTCCTATCGAAAGTTGATAAACATTGATGATGAAAGTTGGAATTATATCGTTTAGAATTATATTACTGACGAGCAATAACGCAGGGGGCAGGAATAATTTGCCCGGATGAATCGTTTTCAGGGGCGGATCCAGAGATGTAAAAAGTGGGTGGGGGGCCGAAAGTGGGGCTGATCGAAATAATACTACTCTAGGGGGCATGCCCCCGCGAAATTTTTATCTTCTAGAAGCCCGAAAATAACCTCTGATGCGTTTTAGGCGATAATTTTTTTCTTTTTCTTTCTTTCTTACTTTAAAAAAAAATCGCCTCTGGTTTCGTAGGCCCTACGATTGACAGATAAACAGACAAACATAAGATGCGCTTCATATACTATCTATGCTAATTACCTCATCAATGATAAGCCAAGGAGACAAGAGAGAACGCGAGACGATTGACCACTATATGGAAATTTTATTAATCTATAAAAATAAAATCAGAGATCAGTGGCCTTAATTCTCTCCCTAAACAATTAGGAATAATTAGAGCAAGTAGCTTAACTAGGACATAGCCGAATGGAAGCAGATCGGCTAAACAAACTCACAGCGGCTGCTGAGCTTTAAATTTTAAAATTCAGAAATTGTCTAAGATGAAAGGTTAAACAACTTATATAAGCAGTAAATCGCCTACGTAAACACTATAACGATGCTAGCGTCCAGTTATACTGTACCGCCGATTATGACTAGCGCGCAATGCCAAATCGTCTGCTGACGACTAACTAATGTAATTCGAATGACATCAGAGGAATGGATCGTGTCGAGTGATATGTTAGTAACATATGGTGATCTGTTATTATCAGTCAAACACTGTGGAGATGAAGGCAACGCGAGCTACAGGTATATGCCTACTCTACAAGCCTATCAATCCACATTGAGGTAAGTCCATCATTCTTCTTATAGGCCTGTTAATAAAAGTATAAAGCGTAACAAATTTAATTTCCGTAAAAAATCCTTTTGCTAAACTTTTAATATTTGTAGCACACGAGGGTTGTTTGTTTGACGAACTTTTAATTAGCCTGTACACAGATAGCTATTAATTATTTGCAACAGTAAACTAATGTACTGAAATCATTCTCACTGCATTGACATTCTCACTGCATTTAGGTTTACATGTACGCATATTATATA